CAGACAACAGCCAGTTGGTACATAAATTATAGTGACATCAATTATCCCAGGCCTCTGACAGACAACAGCCAGTTGGTACATAAATTATAGTGACATCAATTATCCCAGGCCTCTGACAGACAACAGCCAGTTGGTACATAAATTATAGTCTGGGTTTTCCCTGAGGCGTTCCGCTCTGTTGCACAATTTCTCCCGTAGGTCGTGGTACTGTTCCTTGAGCAGTTTAGTGACATTGTCTCGGCTCCACTCCTACAACAGAATAAATGTTTAACAGTTGATTGACGATGTTGTGAGCATACAATAGGAACATACAAAATAACACTACATTCTCTGTATTTACACTACCGCCCCTCCTATAGTCGGTATACCTAAAGTTTAATATTACCTCAACATGTTATGGTACATCTATATCGTTACAGAAAACCTATATTGTTAAACAACCCCCTACTTGGTTACTAGGGTAATAAGGGGAGAGACTGCAATCAGGTTAGCAAAATAGGAAATGAGTAAAAGTAAGGTCAAACCTTTTCTTCTGCTGCCCTCTCGGATACTACTTCTCAGCTACGTACTATTTTTTAAATTTTATTCTGTTTTTTCTGTTTGTTTGCTGACGAAGGCTTCCTGCCGATATGTTCGTTGTTTTGTTGCATTCCTTTTTTTTCATGTTTACCTTACTCAGTTTCACTCATCTCCAACTTGGTTACTAAGACTATATTTCAAAGATCACAAAATTGTGCTGTCCATTACCCCATCATCCCTTGTCCTAACGTTCATGACGAACTCCCGGATGTCCCCATCCAGCTTGACGGGCGGCACCTGGCCGTTCATCATGTGCTGTACGCCATGAATCTTGTGGAAGTTCTGTGGGGACATTATGGCATCACATATATTTAAGATGTATTTATTTATTTATTTATTTAGGCATTTTTGTAAAGCCCTTATCTTACAGCTCTAAGCGCATTACAATTATTAAAAATATGTAAACTATTTAAACTGCTAAAGTAAAATACAAATGAAAAACCTGAGACACTAGAATAGTAACTACAATGTGAAAAATGACTATAGAAACAGTAGCTTTCGCATTAAAATGGCTATAAAAACGAGTACACTTTTTTTGTATGCAATGCATGTCTGCAGCTATTACAAGTAACACATCTCTTAATATAACACAGTTACGTACAATAATCCCAGTACCGAGCAGACTTAATTAGATCACATTCACAACTATTGACCATATTTAACTTTTAAACTGTGGTTTTTAACAAAGTGGTCAAGAGCCTCTTTGGACTGTCAGTGCCAAGAAGACGGAACCCTTTACACAAGCCCTGCACTTACTTTGCACAATCATTTACAATATATATATTCTTGCAGGGAATAGAATGAACTAATACGATCTTGATGAATCAAACTAAAATTTCAACATTTATGCAAATGAGATATCCTGATTTGAATAATTTATTCATGCAGTTTATTTTCACAATTATAATTTGTAAAGTCTTACTGGCAGAATTTTGTTAAATTTTATGATTCTTGAAGCCTTACTGGGGGTGCTCATGCCTTTTGTCATATTTCAAGGTCATATGTTTTAAGAATTGTTTACGGCTCACTTGGTTAGGTTTCATCATAACACTCTGGGCAGAAAGATTGGCCCAGCCACCTCAAGAGGGTTAACATGAATCGTCTAGTTCAGTGGTTCCTAAACATTTCCTAGTTGTATACCCTCACTGCCATACTATTGATTTTTTAAATACTTGATATAATCACATATCCTATCAGGGTTATTCATAGGCTTTTCATAGGCTGACAATGGGCTTTTCATGGGCTGACAACAGGCTTTTCATAGGGTGACAATGGGCTTTTCATGGGCTGACAACAGGCTTTTCATAGGCTGACAATGGGCTTTTCATGGGCTGACCATGGGACTTTCATAGGCTGACAATGGCCTTTTCATAAGCTGACAATGGCCTTTTCATGGGCTGACAATGGGCTTTTCATGGGCTGACAATGCTTTTCAGACCACAGTAAACAATAATCTTTAAAGCTTTCTTTTCTTTAAACCTAAAATTTCTTTTTTTTTAAACTCAACAGAAATTGTTTAAAATGCCCACTGTTTTGAAAAAAGACCAAACCCATGTCAGACCTCTGTAGGAAACATCAAGTTTTCAATGACAATTCACCAGCTGATTAAATTATAGGTGTCAAGCCACCTTGAATTTCCCTTGTATGTATTGGCCTAACTAAAACCTAACTTTTCAATTGCCAGTCTTCATCTATAGACAATGCTATTTTTCATTTATATCAAAATGGTGCCCTACACTTGTAAACCTATTTGTGACACACCAGTGGAACATGTTCAGTATAATTATCATTAGGATGAAGCCATGAGCTGTATTACTGCTGTGGGCAGATATCAACACATACATGTTCTTAGCAAAGATATACCACTCTACCTGGTAGAAGAGTTTCCTGTCCCGTTTGGCAGAGTCCAGTAGCTTCCCTTTGTCAATAGATTTGAGGTTGTTCTTGATGAGGCCCAGGTACTGGAGGATGGCTTTCTCTGTGACAAATGCCAGCTTGTGCTGGCTGAGCTCCTGGACAAGTCAACAATATGACAAGTAAACAGTTAAATAAGTTAACGATTTCTAGTTACATTTGTCATTATAACACTAACCCCCATATTATTATACTAAACACCATTATACGTGGACACAGAGGTTAGGGGCAAAAGACTGTTTGGCCAAATGTGTCAGCATCTGTATATCATCTTGTGATGTTGACATGCTTGACCAGCAACCTGTATGTCACCTTATAACTGATCGGCTGGAGTTCAAACCCCAGGGATAACCAGACAAAAAATTAACACCGGTACATGGGACTGGTTACTCCAGATAGATGGGACTTGTCATCCATGGATGGTTACTCCAGTTAGATGTGACTTGTCATCAATGGATGCGCCATATAAAACCACCTAATCATAATAATACTGATTTCAATCAGTGAGTCAAACTTTTTCTACAAGTACATCTAAAGTAGTTCAAGTAAAGTCACAGCATGCACCTCAGTCAAAGTGAGATGTTTATTTACTCATAGTCCGTAGAGTCATGTGTCCATTACCTGCCACAGGGGACTTGTGTACTCATGGTCATTGGCATACAGCAGCTGGAGGGTGAGAGAAAATTGACGGATTAGTATTAGAAGAATTGGTATTAGAAGGATTAGTATTAGAAGGATTAATTTTAAAAGGATTAGCATTAGAACGATTATTATTAGGATTAGAATCAGAATAAATTGTAGGCAAAGCAATTTTAATGTGTGAACAAATAATCTCAGTGTTGCATGGTGACATATTAAACATACTACTAAAGCTTATGAAGCATACAATCTCTGGCCTTGCCATGCTGGACTAAAATAAGAAAAGTACCAGAGTACACATTCATTTAATGCCTTTAATATTACCACGCCGCAAATGGACGAACCTCTAATATTTCGACATTACAAATGAACATACCTCTAATATAACCACACTACAAATGGCCATACCTCTAATATCACAACGCTGCACTTGAGCAACATCTCACAAAATGTCCGAGCCTCATAAGCCCCGTACTCAACCGTCTTATCCAGTCCCCGATTTTCATGGCACTCTGGCAGCTTTCTTGTGGCCGACAGCAAGCTCTGCGGACAGAAGAGATGAATTTATCATGAATCCACCAGCTAGCCAATACGTGTAACTTCAGAGTGTGTGGTCACACAGCACAGACCATTTTTGATACACTAAGGTCCTAAAATGTTATTTCTATTATATGTTTTACCCAAAGCAAAGGGCCCAACTCTTTGTGGACTATTGACCAGGAACGTTATCGTGATTGGTGCACCATGGTAAAATAGATTTGATTTTCTCGTAATGGTGCTATGATTTATTTCAGATCAGTAAATAATTAGTATTTTCACTCATTGAAATAAAATAATGTATGCTGTGAAAAATGACCTACTTTATTGTCATAGGCTTGTTCTGCACAAGACCCAGAATTTCTTTTGGTCCTCTGTATTGTCAAGTTACATTGTTCTGCACAAGACCCAGAATTTCTTTTGGTCCTCTGTATTGTCCAGTTACATTGTTCTACACAAGACCCAGAATTTCTTTTGGTCCTCTGTATTGTCCAGTTACATTGTTCTACACAAGACCCAGAATTTCTTTTGGTCCTCTGTATTGTCCAGTTACATTGTTCTACACAAGACCCAGAATTTCTTTTGGTCCTCTGTATTGTCACCAGAATTTCTTTTGGTCCTCTGTATTGTCACCAGAATTTCTTTTGGTCCTCTGTATTGTCCAGTTACATTGTTCTGCACAAGACCCAGTATTTCTCTTCTATATAATCCTACATTTTTTTCAATTTGTTACATATTTAATAAATCTTATGTAACTAACACAATACCAACAATTTGGAAACTTCAGAAATCATACCAATTCCAAAGAAAAATAAGGTAACTTGCAACAACGACTTACGACCTGTTGCACTTATCTCTATTGTAATGAAATGTTTTGAGAAACTTATTCTGAGGAAATTTTTGAATGAAGTACAGCAAAAACTTGACCCCCACCAATTTGCTTAAAAACCTGCCAGAAGTAAGGAGGATGCTATCTTACTATTGTTGGAGAAACTTTACCATCACCTAGACAGTCCTAAAATTTACCAGCGTGCTCCCCCTGAAGTCACAAATCTTAATGAGAACTAATAAGTTCCTGATATGGATAAGAGAACTCACTGAATGGTTGTTTTTTTGGGGGGTTTTTTACTAGTGAAATAATTTATTATAAATGTCTTGTGTTCCAATTTTTTTATTTATGTGCTGAAAATGTACAATGCAATCATAAAACAGCTTTCCGTTTGTTTGGATCAATAAAAGAATCTTAAATTTATATTGCCAATAACTTTACAAGATATATCCCAATTCCCCTTCACCCCTAAATGTCACTAGGAATTGACCTCCACTCCCCCCCCCCAACCACCCACCCCCACACCAGGGATCACTGGTAACTGACCTCAGTGGGCAGTGTGTACACCACCAGGTAGTCCACATCCGAGTCTGGTGTTTTCATGTTGTACATGGCACTGCCTGCCACGGCCACCAACAGGATCTGGCAAGGTTTCAGCTTGGCCACGGGGCCTCCAACAGTCTGCATGAGTTCCACGAGGCGGCCATGTTGGTCTGGCAATGCTGGAAATCAAATTATAACTGTTATGAGCTTTGGGGGGGGGGGGGGGCGTTCAATAAGAAATAAATAAACTTATCAGCTGGTCCTCATAATGTTAGTTCTGGTTTGTCTAGTTCTGGTAATGACTACTTTAATCTAAACCTATATTCTTGCATTCAAAGTCATGCATATTTCAGAATGGATAGTGTTATTTGATTGTCTCACTGGACAACCTTGGTCAATAGGATCACAGAGATATGTGAATATCAACATACACAAAGGACTGACAAACACTGTGAATATTACTTATAAATTTCTTTTTTTTAAAAAAAGGTTTATCAACTGTAAACTGTAGCGCAAAAAAAAAAAAAAGGTTGTGTACCTGGCAGAGGTTTCAGTTGTCTGCCTTGCAGTCTTGTCGTCATCAACCAGTCCCCCACAATGCGTTCGGTCTCTTTCTGATTTGATTTGGTCAGTCTAACATCAACTGACTTGTTTAAATCCTTAACACAAAAGACATGCAATTCTTGAATTCATCGGAACTTTAACAGTTTATAACCTGGGATAACTATCAGAACTTCAACAGTTTATAATCTGGGATAACTATCAGAACTTCAACAGTTTATAACCTGGGATAACTATCAGAACTTCAACAGTTTATAACCTGGGATAACTATCAGAACTTCAACAGTTTATAACCTGGGATAACTATCAGAACTTCAACAGTTTATAATCTGGGATAACTATCAGAATTTCAACATTTTATAACCTGAGATAACTCTATAGACTATACATTTAAACTCCCGAATTTACTAATTATTCACTTTTGTTTCATTCTTAAATATACATGTCAGAAATCATTAATTATTATATGAACAATTATTATTCTTTATCCTTATTGTAGTAATTGGATGTAGTGTGTCTTAAGTGGTGCTATGTCAGTAATTATTAAGGATTTGTAAATGTTTTTTGATAGCAGATGTGTTCCTGAGATTGTGTAGGGTTGAAGAAATGCATTTCGGGCCATGGGAAATGCCTGGATCTGGAGATCTATGTTCATGTTTTACCTAATGTGGGGTAAACAAATTTTAAAAATCATGATTATGGCTGCTGCTATACATCAGTCATGAATGTTTAATGTAAGTTTTCATTGGTGCACCAAAATGAAAGTCTTTCCTGTGCAGGGTGCGTAACAAGGCTTTGCTCATCACATTAGAACATTGTGTTAGTGTTGATTTACTTGACTCTGAAGTTGTGAAATTTATCAATATTAAATCATCATTCCTAGACCAGGGTGTGCGACCTTTCTCCAAAAAAGCCATCAGGGTTGTGGCGAATGAGAAGTAAAATTTGCCACACTATATATAAACCATAAAACACTACTATTAAATTTTAACTACATGTATAAAATAAGCTGTTTAATCATATTTGTTAGCTTATCAAGGTCATGGTCATTATTGTTGTTGAATAACATTCTTTACTTGAAAAGTAATTTTAAGTTTCTTTAAATTCACTCAGATTTATTTATTTATTTATTTATTTAGGCATTTTTATATAGCGCTTACCTTAAAGCTCTAAGCGCTTTACAATTATTAAAAACATGTAAACTAAGTAAAATAAAAATGAGACACTAGGATAGTAACTACTATACTATAGAAACAATTAAAATGGCTATAAAACGAGTACACTTTGGCATGTGTTGGCCTATACTACAGGATCAACCCGAGACAGACTTGACCAGGGAACAAGGTAACAAGATTTACCTGCTTGACCAGGGAACAAGGTAACAAGATTTACCTACTTGACGGGGAACAAGGCAACAAGATTTAAGGTGATCTACAAAATTCTTCAATATCTTTCACTTTAAAAAAAATGTAAGTTATATTTTGTATCAATATTTCTTCTTAATAAGTAATTTTTTTTACATTTGAATTAAACAAAAAAAGTTTTACTGACCCTCAGCTGTTGAGCCCAGGTCATGAGCAGATCAAAAAGGTCATGTTTACATTTGACGGGGTCAGTGTGGGTATAAAAAGACTTGACCATTTCCACTGCTGTGACATGAGGTAAAACATCTACTTTGTCCTTAGTGTCACCACATGACAGCCTCAATGTTGTGTCTGCAAGTTCCAATAATCTACAAAAATTGATAACCATAAAAAATAACTTAAGTAAGGTTTTTTATAACCTAAGTCTCAAAAACTATTTCTAAATATAGATGAGATGTGAAGTGATTGTCCATACCTAAGCAAGGAAAATAAAACAATCAATGTCTTTACAATGTATTATTATTATTACTAAAGTTTCTTATATAGCCCGGTACCCCAGCCTAGGGCTAGGCTCTCCGCACTTCAAATAAAATTAGCAAAAAGAAAAAAAAAAGACAAAACAGTTACATAAAATTATTCATTTAAAAACAGTTTTGTAGAAATATTGACCTCATCCACCCAAGAACTAGCCATGGATGGCATCCAGCAGCATCGAGCATTGTTTATAGATCAGAGGGGGGTGAGAATGAGTTGGAATAGTAGAGTTTGAAGAGGTGTATCTTGAGTGCAGTTTTGAAGGCTTGGATGGTCAGTATATTGTGGATTGTGTATTGAGGAGAATTCCATTGTTTGGAGGCACAGAAAGAGAAAGATCGTTCACTGTATGTTTAAGTGCGAGTCTTGGGAACAGAAATAATATGCTTGTCTATGGAGGAACAAAGCTGTCAAAGGGGTTGAATAGACAGAAAGACGTTCAATAAGATAGTAAGAGGGAAGGACCCAGAGAGAAAGTTGTGACAGAGAAGAGACAGCTTGTAATCAATTTGTGAATGTAAAGGGAGCCAATAAAGTGAGTGAAGTAGCGGAGTGACGCGATCATGTTTCTTTGCATATAGAACTAACCTAGCAGTGAGTTTTGAACTATTTGCAGTTTTTCTATTAATTTTTTGGTGAACCTGACAGAAGAGAGTTGCAATGGTCAAGACAAGAGAGGACAAGAGCACAGACAAGTGTTTTTGCTGCACTGTGAGGTAGTGGCGGATGGAGCTGATCTGATGGATGGGGTGAACGCAGAGCGACTGATGCAAGAAAATATTGATTGTTGAGAGAATGATTATTACCTATGTAAGAAAATATTGATTATTGAGAGAATGATTATTACCTATGTAAGAAAATATTGATTATTGAGAGAATGATTATTACCTATGTAAGAAAATAATGATTATTGAGAGAATGATTATTAACTATGTAAGAAAATATTGATCATTGAGAGAATGATTATTGAGAGAATGATTATTACCGGATAGATTCACAGATTTCAAAGATGGTCACACCTTCCTTCAGTTTGAAAGCACCATTCTTCTTCTTCTTTCCGACTCCTCCGAGAGCCTGACCAAGACATGCTTCCATAAAGCTGCGAGTACCTTCAAATAAGACACATGTCTGTACATTGACTTATTTAAAATATTTAGAATGCACCAGGGAAAATGTTAAAATTTTCCGCAGGAGAATTAAGTGATCCTCCCTGTCATGTTTCTTATCTTAAATGAAGAATTTTAGCCAGGTGTATGAATACATAAGTTAATATATTAGTCAGGTGTATGAATAAATAATTTAATATATTAGCCAGGTGTATGAATACAAAATTTAATATATTAGCCAGGTGTATGAATACATAAATTAATATATTAGCCAGGTGTATGAATACATAAGTTAATATATTAGCCAGGTGTATGAATACATAAGTTAATATATTAGCCAGGTGTATGAATACACAAGTAACCATGAAATAAACAACTGCTTAAAGAAAATAAAAAGATATGCAGTTTAACATTCGAATACATTTTTGCATTGAAATAAAAGGGAAAGTACCAGGCGGAGGTTTAAGTTCTCTCCTCTTAAGTCTTGTCCTCATTAAATTAGTGTATCTAAACTCATAATGCATTTTTGTCTAAAGCATTTCAAATGGATTCTTCAAATTTTTCTTGCAAATAGCCCATCCTGTAAATTTTAAGGGATTAAATCATTTTGCTTCAAGCTTTCGTTTATACATAATTTAAACTAAACCTTGCCTGCAGCTATTCAGTGGTAAACTAAACCTTGCCTACAGCTATACAGCGGTAAGCTAAACCTTGCCTGCAGCTATTCAGTGTTAAACTAAACTTTGACTGAAGCTATTCAGTGGTGTTTAATAATATAATTTACTTTGGATGGTAAGCTAATCTATTTCAATGTGCACATTTTCTGTGAGCTGCACACAAAGAATGTATTGTTGAAAAAGTTCTAAAAAATAACAGGAAGCACTGACAGAAAGTGTGCCATTATGTATTAAAAATTTTTATTAATCGTTACCTGTAATTATTTCATATTTCAAGGTCTGTCTCAAATCTTTCCAGTGCTGACTTGAAAATATGTCTGCCCCTTCTCGACAATGCACAGCCTCCAGGTAACGCGTGCGCCCTCTGCCGAGCGCTTGTCCAAAGTGAGATAACTCTACAGCGCAGAACCATCCCTGCAAGCAACATGTCAGCAATTTATCAGAAAAAAATAAGAAAATATAACTGCTTACAGGATATAAGAAACTATAAAATTGATTTTCAGACAATAAAATTCACTGATGTTAGTAAAAAAATTATTTGTATTAACAAATGAGTTAAGCTTTTTCTAGGGATTGTTAAATTTTTAATGGGGAAAAAGGCTTTGTTTATTTAAATAGTTTTTTCCAAAAATGTGAGAAAGATTTATATAATAACAAAATATTAACATAGGTATGGATTATTTTGAAGTTTCTTTTTGCATCAGTATTCTTGTCCTAATGCATCACTTATAAATTGATCTGAACTGTTTTATTTTAACCTTTCTTTTCCCTAAGATGAACATTTTACAATATACTCTCAGACTCACCTGGTCAATAACACTGGCCTGTTCTTTTGGTAATATACTCTCAGACTCACCTGGTCAATAACACTGGCCTGTTCTTTTGGTAATATACTCTCAGACTCACCTCGTCAATGACGCTGGCCTGTTCTTTAGTTTGAGGATTGGCAGGTGAGAAAAACTGCTCATCCCTTGAGATAAAAACCACCAAAAGTATATTGTGCTTGGCCTGCTCTCCCCTTTCTCTTTGAGACAACTCATACCAGGCACTATTCAGCAATGTGATGGATAAAATTGCTTTACACTGATCTGGGGAGATAGTCAAGCTTAACACATGGTTGTTGGCATGACACGTTCTTTTTGGCACAAGATTTTAATAAATAACGGTATCTAAGTACATTTTTTTAAAATTGAAGCAATAAACAAATAAATAAAGTTAATGCATTTTAATTGTTTTACTTTGGGAAATATGTTTGAAATGCTTTCATGTTAACAAATTTTTGTTGTTTTTTTTCACATCATCAACTGAACAAATTAATAAAATCAGGTAAAAGTATAAATACATTTGAGCTAAAGGTAATATTATTTAGTGTTTACCATAAGATATAAATATAATCTACTTGTAAACCACCATGAGAAATAGCAAGAAAAAAGGGAGAGACATTTTAAAACTTTTAAAAATTGCTAAAGCCTGATTGTTTGTAAGCGGAAACCCTTAGTTTTGGACAGGAAAAGCCTTAAAAGTGTGTAACCTGCATATAAGGAGACCCCATAAAATGATGTGCCCCAATAAGCAATAAAGAACCAATAAAATATCTAGGATGAACTTATGCTCGTGTTAAAAAATAACTGAATAGTGTCGTCATCTACTTTATCTTGCTTTACACTAATTAACAGTCATCGGAAAATAAGAATTATATATCCTGATTTTTTTGCATTTTGTTTCTCAAAATTTAACTATAAAAAATGGTAATAAATGCAGAACTGTCTTCATATCCTGTATTTAAAACTCGTGTTAAGTCATGTACCCACCTTTCAGAGCGCGATCAACCATGACCTTGAACTTGTCACAAACTTCTGGAGTCAGTGATGATGGGACATGCATCAATGTTAACTGCTTTAGCTCTATCAGGCCACTCTCCTGGAGATTAGGTATGCAAAAGTCACAATCACTTCCCTCCAGGTGGGCTTTTTGGGTTATCAGCAGCTCTAGGCATACGTGTGCTTTTTTTTTGGCTACAAAAACATATATTTTGAAAAAAGTTAAGTCCAATGCATTGTTAGAACTTCTTCTACACATTGATTTCATTTGTTACAATTTTTATTTTTTGTTATAACGTGATGCTTAAATAGCCTAGATTACATACCTTCTTCATTAAAATTATTTTGTCCAAGAAGCCAACGAAGTCTCTCTTGTGACTGAACTGCAAGAGTGGCATATTGTATGACATCCTTCATCATGAAATTTAATTGGGCAAGGTCATTCATAGGTTCTCTGCAACATAGAATAACATATTTCAAAATTAAGTTTGAATCAATGAATGTAAATTAAATATATTTTTTAAATAAATATTTATTTATTTTTTATCATTTATTGGTATATTAATATAATGATACATTATTTATATTATTTTATAACATATATAGTATAGGCCACAATAATTTAAATAATTAGACCTATAATATGTACTATATAAATATATTAAGTCGTTAGATTGGATAATTGATATAATATGCTGATCATTGAAACTGATAGTAATAAATTGACTAATAAATAGTACTTTCGTACCAATGCAGTAGTAAGTAGTAAGGAAAAACTAACTAGACCTAGACAGACACAGTCTCAGTATCTGGATTGTCTCACAATAATTAATCTAAGTAATAAAACTATTAAATTACCTTTACTAGAGTAAAAACTGCCTAGGGATTAGGGAGTAAGTCAGTGGCGTAGCAAGGCAGGTGCGGGGGGTGCGGACCGCACCGGGTGACACCATTTTAGGGGTGACACCCGATTGAAAAATTGCATATTTACAAGGCACACATTGCTCGCAAAAATCGAGATTCATAAAAGAATAACCGATCACACAAATATTTTCACAAATTTAACCAATCCCAAATGCGTGCTTTATTAAAAGTTCAAGGTAATGATACACTGTGGACTTATTTTAACAAGAAAAAATCGATCATAGAAGTTTGGGGGGGGGGGGGATGGGATGATACCAACCCTAGCTACGCCACTGGGGTAAGTGACTTTTTTCATCACTTAAAATTATGACTGTCACTTTTATAATTGTTGTGCTTGATTTACTTTTTTTTTAGCGTGCTTTATTAAAAGTTCAAGGTAATGATACACTGTGGACTTATTTTAACAAGAAAAAATCGATCATAGAAGTTTGGGGGGGGGGGATGGGATGATACCAACCCTAGCTACGCCACTGGAGTAAGTGACTTATTTCATCACTTAAAATTATGACTGTCACTGTTATAATTGTTGTGCTTGAATTACTTATTTATTAGCCGACTAACTTACTACTTACCGTTACTAAATTATTGTTATATGATTTATAATTAAATTGCATCGAGTATCCAGTTACTTTATTTACTCATTTTTACATAAAAATTTAATAAAATATTAACACTGGCCAAGTCCTACGTTTAATAGGCTACATGGGTATAGTTCATTAAGTTTACCAAAATTTTAAAAACTGTAGAACTAACATACATGTCGTCGTCATATTTAACTCAAGTGAAGTAGGATTTCAAAAGTTTCATAATTTACTCCATAATTGTGCAATAGGCCTATTCATTATTTTTAAATTGTCAATCAGAGATCACCCACTTACCGTCATCATAATATAAATTCGAGATATATTATTAACTAAAATAAACAACCACAAATGACATCCGAATGGGATCTTAAGGGACCCGGGTCCGAATAGCAACTATGCTTGAGACATTCGGCCATCGGACCGAAAGTGACTGAGGTTTTCGGTCATCCACCAGAAGTCAGACTGTCTGTCTCTAGGCCGACAATCCGATAATGGGACCCGGGTGCGAATGGCGGCGATGCGTGTCCCGGTCCATTTTGACTAAATGCCATTCGGATGTCATTTGTGGTAGTTTATTTTAGTTGAACTGCAGAAGTAAGTTTACAAACATTTAGTCCATTCAATTATCTTTCATTTTCTACCAAATTTTGTCTTACAAACCTAACAATAATATTTTAAAATAGTTTTTTTTTTAATCCCAACCTCTCGCTCTGGTACCCGGGTGCGAATAGCCGCAGCCATTTATTATAGCTCGGCGTCTTGCTATCTTTGTATGTTATATGAATAATACTCGACGAAAACTGCCAACAGCTGCATGATGACCTACTTGTCCTATATTTCCAAACAATTAATTTTAAATTAGGCCTCAACAACTGTCAACGGTTTTGTGGCAGAAAAACTAATGACTAATGAAAAGGTAATATTTATGTCTGTATTTTTGTTTTAATTTGTTCAAAAATAAAATTTGGAACCCTAGGTTTATTCAATACCTTCATTTGCGATATTCATTTTGATGTATCATTATCATGCTCATCAATGTTGTCATAGGCAAAGGTGAATAATATTGTATAATCCTAGGGAATGGCAATATTTTCTTTATTATTTTTGTTTTATTTTTTGTTTTTAAATTTAAAAAAAATTAAGGAACTTAGGCCTATTTCAATTGATGCATTTCTTGAAATTCATCATTATCATGCTCATAAACATTGTTATTGACAAAATAACAGGTGTGTGCATGTATCACGGGTTCGTATTATAATTATGCAGTAGGCCTACTGCAGACCTGTTCACTTGTATGATATTGGCGACAAATTTATGTCTTTTGCGATTCTCGGTCAAGACCCGTTAGAGCAACAATTTTAAGAGACCTGGTTAAAATAATAAATTTCACCACCAATGGGGGTGAGGGAGGTTGGTGTCCCAACGAAATAATTACGTCACCAGCACGGAAAGACTTGCCAGCTATTTATGAAAACACAAAGAATTTGTATGCCGATAACCGCGAAACATTAGGGTTATATTTTTTAGGCTTTAATAACTTATATTTAGTGAGGATTGGCTCTATGAGAGCCACAATAATTATTGTAGCTATTTGTTCCAGTTTGTAATTATATTATAAAAGTAAATGGCACTCAAAGATCTATTTTGCATGAATTTTGCCCCTTCCAGCCCCCGTTTTTTTTTCAAATTTTCTCCTACCGTACCATACTACTTTAAAAAACATTTTAAAGAAACTTTAATTATTTTTAAACTAAAATGGTAAAAGCCAAAGTGTTCATTAGATTCAGGGGTCTCAAAATCATATCATCCAGGGGCCGCAGGAGGTAGAGTCTATTTGTAACACATCTTTACTCTGACATGGCGTGGGATGTTATTTCTTATGCTGTTATGTCAGTAGTATGGTTACTTATATTAACGCTTCAGGATGCCGACTCAGTCTTCTTCATTCTTTCACTTATTATTCAAGCACGTAAAGAAGAATGCTCAATTCTAGTTAAAACTCACAGTACTTTATTGAACACACTTTATATTGATAATATTAATAAATAATCCTTGCATGAATGTAATTTCACATATATATCTATAGTATTCCATCATTAAGAAAGACACGTCCTCACACTAAACTGTCAACTGTCTAATCACACAGCTCTCACGCTACTGACTCTACTGCTCTGCGCTCAGCTCTCTACTATCTCAGTCAACTCATACTTTATTACCAGCAAAGCGTGCAAAACAACCGCTCTGACAAAAACATAATTTTACTCTCCAAAAACGTGGAGTTCACATTTGCATCTCAAAATACATGGTCAACACAATTCACTGTTCACTCATGCTACCTCTCTGTTTTCATGTGAAAACATAGTCCGTTACATGCCCCACCCATCTGAAAAAATTTTGTGCAACAAAATTTTTGGCATTATATGTTGAAATAATGATAATGTCTCTTAGAAAATTTCAATGCCACATCTAACAATCAAATCAGTGTAACAACATTAACATTTCATCATTATGAAATACAGGGCCTTTTACTAGTGAATAATTTACCCTGGCAAAAAATTACAAAATCACCAATGACAACCTCTTAAAATCTTTATGTATGATAATGTGAAGTGACATTGACATCTTAATGAATAATAAACACTGCAAAATGAATGTAACAATCTTAAATTTTGCATTAGAAAATTTACAATTGGTTAAAATCTGATATTCATTTACAAAAATTGATATGTACAAGTGTCTTATCAAAAAACTGAGTGAATGTGTATTTTAATGCTCTTCATGCTCAATTTAACCTTAATTTTATTGTCATTGTCTATGAAAAAGTTGATAACCAAGAATGTAAACAGTTTATAAAATAGTTCTGTATTGACAATTATCATATTTGAAAAAAATTTTCCTCTTGACAACTAATAATTAATTTAGCAGAAAGTGTTATGCTAGGTTAGCTAAAATGTAATGTTAAGTATTTCTCCGCACTGAAGAAAATGACAATTGTGATCTTTGTCTGTCTCTTTCCATAAAATTGTTATTTGTAGTTGTGTAATGTTCATCTTGAAACTTGTTTTCTCTGTCTTTGATTTCATTTTTGAATTTTTCAGCCTGTCTATACTGTTGATGAATATTTCTTGAATTTAGTCTAAAAATGTGTTTTGCCCTGTCTGATTTTTGTTCTGTATATGTTTTATTAAGAATTCCTTTGTTATGTTGTCTTGTTATGCTATGTGTTGGATTCATGTTTAAATGTCTTCCTCTTATCCCTTCTGTTATTAGATACTTAGTGTTATTGCCTAGTTCTTTTATATTGCCAATAATTAACTGACATACTGGGTTGTCCATAAGTACTGCCGTTACCTTTCCTGTCAACCATGGACAGTCTATGTCCACTACTGCTTTATAACATTCAACTTTTGTGTTATTTGCTAACATGACTGTGGTTTTTTCAGATATATGGTCTTTAGG